GTAAGTATGAACTCGATTGTTTTCATGGAAGAGGGTGATGGTGACGATGGAGTGGCTGCCTGCTGCCCCTAAATCCCTTCCCAACCTAAACAGAATCCTCTGCACTATGGCTCGCCCTCACATCACCTGGTCCTCCTACCTTGTCTCTTGCTGCGCCTGCTGCTACTCTTCGTGGTGGTGGGAATGATGATCCACACATAGTATATAAGGGAATTGCACTAACAATTGCATTAACTTGTATGAATGTATTGTGATTGTTACAGGTGTGTCGTAGAATAATAATATTAGTATTATGATTATATTTTTTGGGGAGGGAAGCGCTAAACCCATAGTCAACGCCTAGGAATAGGAAGAAACAGGAGACCCCTCACCGGCGTGTACAAGAACACAATTTCCCACATTTCTAGATTTATATTACACTAGAATGTATCTCCTCCGATAATGTGTTTCTGTTACATCATTTCTGTGGCATTTCTTCTCTTTATATTAAGGAAACCAATAAGCCGTAATAATGAAAGTTTGAAGCCGATCAGAAAAGGCGTTTCTCCTGTATTTGTAATGAATCCAACGATTCCAAGGTGTTCTTTTTTTTAATCTGTAAAATTTCAAACTTGCATTTAAACTTATGGGGTATCGTCATCCTTATTAATATTATGAAGCCAGTCGAAAGAAGTGTTGTTTAGTAACTGAATAAATAATGAATATCATTATTTAGTCAATAAAATTGGCACACTGGCACTCATGCCAAGCAATAACAGTAGAAGTCAAGTCACGATTATAACCTTAAAAATTAAGACAGTTAAGTAACTCAGCTGTGTGAAAATCAGTTACAGTAAAAAGAGGTACAATTGGAATTTTCTGTTCCTTCTGATGATTCGTTTGACTACTTGTGGCTGCAGACCAGACATCATCTACCTTAGTCTGGCAGCTTTCCCTGGCTGTTGAGCTGGAGCCTGAACGCTGACGGAGCAGAAGCTCGGCCAAGGCCTACTGTAAAGTCCGGTAGATATCATGTCCTGGAAATTGTCCTAGAGAGACTCAAGGAGGTACATAACATGGGCTTCACTTGTCCTGTTTTCCCAGCACTTCAAGAAATACTGACAGTGGAACGTCAGGTAATACCACCAGAGAGGCCAAACTCATCTACCAACCTCTGCAACTTCTCTTCAGAATCCCCCAAAAGTACTGCGTCATCAGCAAAAAGCAACTATGACAACTCCCACTTTGTGTTAGATTCTTTATCTTTTAACCTCACACCCTAGCATCGGTGACGAGGCAGCGCGAGGAGGGCTGCCTGAGCTCGTCCTGTGTCTCGTGTGAAAGCCACCTTTAGGTACTCGGTTTGCAGAGTCACGTCTAAAGTATCATGCTCGCTGGGATGTCTGAGGTCATCTACCGCTTCCGCATATGGATATTCCACTCCAACTTCCGGCAGCTAGATGTCACTGTTCGTCACTCAAGTCACATTCACCCACCCTCCCTCCCCTCCACACACAAACACCCACATCCAATTCCATCCCCCCTCCCCCGCGCATATTTTCCCTCATCTTCTGTCTCTTATCAAATTCTACTCCTGGGGCCTAAGGTCTTCAGCAATAACTGGTTTCAATTTTTTTTCTCTCTCTCTCTCTCTCTCTCTCTCTCTCTCTCTCTCTCTCTCTCTCTCTCTCTCTCTCCTCTCTCTCTCTCTCTCTCTCTCTCTCTCTCGTTTTCCTTTAATCCTTGCACCTTTTTCTTTGATCCTACTCCTATTTTATTCTCCAGCTTCTTCACACTTATTCTCCTCTCTTTTCCTTGTCCTCTTTCTCTTCCATATATTTATCTTATTTTCTTTCCGTTATGTCTTCATCCCCCTTACTCCTCTTCTCCCGTTCTCATTTTCTTTCACCTTTCTTCCTCCATCTTTCTACTCTTCTTTTCCTACCCTTCTTCCTCCTACCCTTCTTTTCCTACCCTTCTCCTCCGGCCCTTCTCCTCCGGCCCTTCTCCTCCGGCCCTTCTCCTCCGGCCCTTCTCCTCCGGCCCTTCTCCTCCGGCCATTCTCTTCTCCTAATCTCATACAAACTCTTTTATGCTATTTCACGTTCACTTTCACCCGTCCTCTGAACATGGAAATGCCAAGAATGTCAATACTGCAGATCCTCCAGTTCTTCCTCCCGTTCCTTCCTTTCCTCTTCTTGTTGCACTTGCTCTTACCAACCTTGCTCCTTCCTTCGTTCCTCATAACTCCTCCATTACCCTTTGTTCCTCCCGTATCTCGTCCCTCTCCTGTTCCTCCTTTGCACCCCTTCGTTCTTCCTCTCTTTTTCTCCTTTCTTGTCCTCCACGTTTTCTGAAAAACTCTCCCCTTAAATTGGCGCGCCGTAACGCTGGTTTAGGGCTCTTGATCCACGAAACTGGAGATACCCTTTCCTTCCTTGTATAAAAACTGATTACCTCCCATTCCTCAAGCTCTTTATGACCCTTAAGGGTTTAGCTTTAGTGCCTGAATTCTTGTGGACTGCTGTGCTGCGGCAACTCTGACGCCTTGTTGACGTGCTGCTGTAGCTGCTGTTGTTGCTGCTGCTGCTGCTGCTGCTGCTGTGCTGCTGCTGCTGCTGCTGCTGTAGCTGCTGCTGCTGCTGCTGCTGCTGCTGATGCTGCTGCTGCTGCTGCTGCTGTAGCTGCTGCTGCTGTAGCTGCTGCTGCTGTAGCTGCTGCTTCTGTAGCTGCTGCTGCTGTAGCTGCTGCTGTAGGTGCTGCTGCTACTGCTGCTGCGACGGCGGCGGCGGCGGCGGCGTTACAGAGGTCTGAGCAAAGCTCAGACCTCTGTAACACATTTGTCCTCAAAGATTTGTTAAGTTAGACCATGAATTAAGGAAAAATCCTGGACTTCACCTTACGAAAGCAGACAAAGCAAATGCGATAGTAATTATAGACAAGGTAGATTATAGTTGAAAAATATATTATTAGAAGACAGGGAAACTGACGTGCCCTTTAAATCACGTTACCCCCACTTCCGTTCCCGTTTGAATCAGGCACCTAAGCCGTAGCCCTGGCCCTAAAGACACAGAGACAATGATGGCGGCCCTGATGGCCTAACCCCGTTGTCGTACATAAAATATTTTCCCGTGGAAGGCACGGGGTCTACTGCAAGATCCTGACATCTCCTCCGAGATCATCAGACGGGTCATCGTAGGATTAAGACCCGTGTCAGGGTGCAGTTTCTGACAAATCAATCAAACAGCCTCATTCTCGTGCAGGCTTGTCAGTCGGGCAGACGGACAGGTTAGGCTCTGCCAACATTACCAATACAACGCCTCGGTAACAGTCAACAGTTGTTTCCTTTGCTACCATCGCTTCTCCCATCGAGCCCCATAACATTTGACCTAATTGGCTTATCCTAGTTTAAATCTATATAATATAATTTCCATAAACCCGTGACATCTGAGTGTCCTCAAGGCCCATTGTAACGACGTTTTATGTTATGTATCGAAAGCCTAAATTCCAGCGACAATCTAACTTAGAGAAAAGCTTGGATCTATTTTCACCTGTGTAGGTCCGTAATTGTCATTTTAATCGAAGAAATTTTGAGAAAATACAAATACTGGTTTTGAGAAGATAATTTGTGAGTGCCTCAGCCGACTGGCTTCAAACCTTCAACCTAATAACTTACGAGCTGCTTCAGACTTAGTGTTAAGCGTATTATGTGGATGTTGATTTATGTAAGATAACCACAGAATGTCCTCTTCAGTTTGGCTTTAAAAATTTTAAAGCTGGTCTTTCTTGATTTTAAGCTTGAATTTCTCTTGGGTTGTATATGTCCTTTTATCAATTATTATTAAATAAATTGCGATGTTAGTTTCCATGTGATAACTTGTGAATGCCTTTTCTCTTTCTCGCTTAAAATTTTCAGCGTTAATATTGAACTGCATTACAAACTTATGCCGCACTCTGCACTATACCTTTCATGTGCACTGAGGTACAGGGGACTGGGGTTATACAATACAAGGATACTTTCTCGGATTGAGCAGTGACTGAAATGAATCTACATTTATTATTATTATTATTATTATTATTAATATTATTATTATTATTATTATAATAATTATTATCATTATCATTATTATTATTATTATTATTATTATAATTCAGAAATAAGAGCTAAGCGCGTAGGGTCAAACAGCGCCTGGAGAACGTGAGGAAGTCAGGTTTGATCCGAGGAAGGGAAGGAATAGCTCGAGTTCCTTGGATCAAGCGCCTTCCATCGTCATCAAGGCAGCGCTATTGCAAGGTGTCAGAATGGACTAATTTAGGATATGATCTGAGATTAAATAACCTGACCTTAAATAGCATTAAATACTGACCAGCCGCAAGAAATCCCCTCTAGTGTTACGTAATCCCCTACCACAAATAATCCCCCTTGTCTCGGGGTATAATTCTTCACCACAAATAATCCACTTTGTCTTGTGGTGTAATCCCCACCACAAGTAATCAGCTTTGTCTTGTGGTATAATCCCCACCACAAGTAATCACACATGTCTTGTGTAATCCCTCACCACAAGTAATCCCCTTTCTTGTGGTATAATCCTCCATCACAAGTAATCACCTTTGTCATGTGGTGTAATCCCTCACCACAAGTAATCCCCTTGTGGTACAATTCTCCATCACAAGTAATCCCCTTTGTCTTGTGTAATCCCCACCACAAGTAATCACCTTTGCATTATGGTGTAATCCCCAACCACAAGTAACCAGCTTTGCCTTGTGGTATAATCCTCACCACAAGTAATCACCCTTGTCTAGTGGTGTAATCCCCCACCAAAAGTAATCACATTTGTCTTGTGGTGTAATCCTCCACAACAAGTAATCCCCCACCACAAGTAATTACCAGTACTCATCCCCAGTAGTTACCAGTACTCATCCCCAGTAATTACCAGTACTCATCCCCAGTAATTACCAGTACTCATCCCCAGTAATTACCAGTACTCATCCCCAGTAGTTACCAGTACTCATCCCCAGTA